AATAGTGTAATATTTTTATATAACACTTACACGTGCATAGTGGAACCCTCATGTATTACCTCTACAAGCAAAGACTTAATAAAAATTAGGGTAAATTATATAACACATCCTTGTATTTTATTAAAAATGCACAAAACATCATTTGTTTTATTTATTGAGTGAAACCTCTTTGTGTTAATGAAAAGTTTGCATGAAACACCCCTTATTGTTCAAAACTGATGTTTGGTATGAAATAAAGACTTAAATTACGTAAGTTTTATACAAATAAAAAACGTAAAATATCTTAAATAATTTGTTTTGAATAAAATAAATAAATAAATAATTGATCAATCATATATTTTTATAATTTTTATAAAAATCAGACAACAATTTGTCTCCAAAAACTATAAAATGAAGGATTAATAAATTATTTATTTAATGCAAAACAATTATTTAAGATATTTTACGCTTTTTATTTGTATAAAACTTGCGTAATTTAGATATTTGTTTAGAACTAAATATCAATTTTTGACAAGAAGGGTATTTCGTACAAACTTTACATTAACATAAGGAGGTTTCGCACAATAAATAAAACACGAAGTGTTTTATGCATTTTTACTAAAAATACAAGAAGGTGTGCTATATAATTTACCCTACAAATTATTATGGTGACAATAAGTATTATTATTATTATTATTATTATTATTATTATTATTATTCCAAATAAATCTGCTTGAAAGAGGATAATAACTGTTATTTAGAATACCATAATTTTATTTCACCCAAATTTTAGGCATTTATATAGACATACTTTAGATCAGGCATTGACGAATATGTATAAATTAATATTCGTAATATCACATATTTATTGCGACACTGATGAGTATGTCTTTAAAGCTTACAGTCTTTATTTTATTTGCATTTTAATATTTTTATATGTAACAGTCCATTATATAATACTCCATTTGTCCTGGCTAAGACGTAATATTTTCACAATAATTTAAAATGAGTAGAATAAAATAAAAATTAGATAATATTATAAGAGAAAATTGTATATTTATTTTTTATTTGAATAGTATAATGAGATAAAATATAGTTAACTATTTTCTATTTTAGAAATGCTGCAAAATATGTTAGGATAGAACAAAAATAGAAAATATTGAGATATGTATAATGGAATGAGTAGATTGTTGCTAGTTTAAATATATATATATATATATTTACATTTATTTTGCTACTCCATTTAGTTAATGTAGTACTCCATTCGTATCAGTTCTCATGTTCACTTTTTTATTTTCGTCTGTTCCAATTATTTTGTCACTTTCATTTTTTTGAAACATATACTTTTTTTTATTTTAAAAAATTTCATTTATAATTTTTTAAATTTTAATTATACTAACAAGTTATGTTTAATCTTAATCTATAATTATTTTTATTATATGATAATTATTTTCACTAATATATTTTTAATTATTTACTAATTATACCCCTCCTAAATTCTCGTGTCTATAGTAAAACGGACAAAATATCTGGGACGGAGGGAGTATAATAGTTTGTTGTTACTCCATTTGTCATAAATATATATATGTTTATTTTTTATCTGTTATAAAAAATAAGTTTGTTGATTTTTTTATCTTTTTTTTTTTTTACTACAAAGCATAAAAAGTATACATTATATTAAAACATATGCTCTAACTAATAAATTTATTTTTACAGCACCAATGTAATATAAATATATATTGACGATCAAAATATAAAATATCAAATTGACTTACTATTCTTCTCTTTAAAAAGAGTTAGCAAAAAGTCTCAAATCAAATAAAAATACTTGCACCATTTCGAAGCAATGTTATCTTTTGAAACTTCGTTTTAAAGATATCAATACGTCAAAATTATATTATCCTCTTTTTATTATTATTATTATTATTATTATTATTATTATTATTATTATATAAAATATATATTTTTAAAATTGGAAATTGAAATTTTACTTATACTTCATCAACCTTTCACAACTTAGTCAAGGGCAAAATGATCTTATTGGAGGTAGAGAAATGATTGGACCTCAAGTCTCCTTTTGACAATTTTCTCTAACAAATTAAAAGGTTTTTCTTTTCTTAAAAAAATAGAAATCAATATTATTTCCTCTATACAATTTTTAATAAAAATATAGTATTAATTTTTTCACAAAATATCACATGAAAAAAAATACTACATTCGTCCGACTCTAAAAGCCTCATTTACTTTTTGCTTGTGTAATCTTTGAATATTAATTATTATATGAAAACGTAATACAAATCAATGAAAAATGACAAAAGTACTTCTATTAGGATTTTATTTATCTTATAATACTATTATCATGACATTTGTGCAAAAAATTATACACAAAAGATAAATAAAACCCTTAAAATCAGAGAAAAAAATAATATTTAAACAAAAATACGAATTAATATCTCATTTTAAATTAGTTTCAAACTTAAAAAAGAACCAATATATATATATATATATATTAAAAAATGGCATATATAATACGTGTAAATAAGTTTGTTGAAGTGCGATGAAGTTACTATGTAAGAAGATTGGGACATATAAATAAATATAATATGTCGCACTTTTGACATTTTGCTTGTGGTCATAATTCGAGTATATTAATGTTATATATATATATATATATGTAATGGTGCTGCTGATTCAGTAGTACGACTCCATCTTTACACTTACACTTGGACAAATTAAAATAATTGGGACTAATAATCATTAAACAATTTTCATATATATATATATAAAATATAATATGTGATGTTTGTGGGTGTTGATGAAAATGGAATGCGATGTGATGCTTATGACATGCTTACAAGAGCATCATCATATATATTTATAAGATATTATATATATATATATATATATACATACACATAACCAAACAAAGTTGGTGCTAGTCACTTCCATTCCCCTCTCCCCAAAACTACATTTAAACTTTCCAAACATAGTACAAATAAAAAAAAAATTGTAAAAATATTTATATTGATGTCTTATAATATTAAAAAAAAGGATATTTGTATAAAAAAATATACAAATATAAGGATACTTTTAATATTTAGTACAATTATGCAAAAGATAAATATGACTTTTAGAGTTTTCTATTGTATTTACAATTTCCACGATTTTTATAATAAAAGAACGTTATTTCTTTTCACAAATATCATACTATTATATTTTAGCTATAATACAAATTTATCATTTTCGTCCGGTTTATTTAAATATAAAATTTTTTCTATTATAACAAGAATAATATCATACTAATATAAAAATATTTCCGACTTTTATATAAATTTCAAATATACTATTACTATTACACATTTATTTTTTTATTTATATATTAAGTACAAATGAAAAAATATTGAAATATTATCCTTTCTTAATTTATTATAAAAAGGTAAAATGGTGCATACAAATGTAGGGTGTGCTCTTTATTGTTTTAGTTTGAGTGTTTTTTCTTTTTCTTTTTTTTTTTTTATGTAAAATATAAGAAACTGTTTTAGTAATATAAAAAGTAATATCTTAAATGTTAACTTTTTATTAAAGAATAAAATGTAATTTGTTTTACATAATTTGTCCCTATTTTCTATTTTCGTTCGTCCCACATAACTTGTCATTTCCTTTTTTGGAAATATAATTACATTTTAAACTTTATATTTTATAATTTTTTAATCTAAATTAAAATATTTAGTTATTTTAATCTTAATCTATAATTATTTTTACTATACAATAATTATTTTTACTAATAAACTTCTTAATTATTTATTAATAACACGTCTAAATTACCTAGGACGGAGGGAGTATTATATATATTGTGAATCATATCGGTAAAGATATGATTAGAAAAATAAACTTGTAAATTGTTCTATATTGTGTAATAAGATAATTAAGGATATTTAGATGATATTTGCACTATAACTTAATATAGAAAATATTTTATATAAAATCGATTGATAAAATTTCCTTCAGAATAGTACGAATACTCCCTCCCATCATATATATATATATATATATATCATTTGAAAAAAAATATTTCTAATTATCAATTTAATATCCTAATTGACTATAATGACTACAATAAAATTAAATACAAAGAGAGAAAAAGTAGAGAAACGACATGATTAATATTGAATCAAGATTAAATTTTTGCTTTTGAATTCTTCAAAAGAACTTAGAATTTTTAAGACAAACTTTTGAAATAATCACTTAGGTAAGACCATAAGAGTACAAAACTATTATTTTTATTTTTTGTTGTCGGTTTTACCATTTACTTATTTTTCTTTACTTTCCATTATTAATAATAAATAAATATACTTTTAATAGCTTCAATCACTTCACAAAATAATATTTATAAATAATAAGCCAAAATCAATGTCAAAAAAGTGTATATATTTTGTGGATTGAGGTCACTATACATAGAAATTAATATAAATACTTTTCTTTATATATATATATATATAAAAACACAAATTAATTTTATTTTATTTATTTTTTTTTAACACGCTTATAAGATTCAATCAATGGTTTCAATACACGTAGTAATAATAGTGGAGAACACTAAAGATTACATATATCCATTTTGCAATAAAATATATATAAAAAGATAATTAAAAGTTGAAGGAATTAATAAAAAACATTTTTCTTCAACAATCACAAAATAGGTTTTTTTTTTTTTTCTGAAAATTAATTATTTAGTGGATATGGCAAGAAAAGTCCCCAATATAGAGGAAACAAATAACCAATGAGAACTCAAATATTCTGTCCACACACACATATAGATACACATTTTTCTGCAAGTACTATTTAATATATATATTGTTTCATTTAAATGGGTTTTTTTATTTTATTATTTTATCTGTAATGCATGATGGGGGGTGGGGTAGGGTAGAGAGGGGCACTCAATTAACCCACCCCTCATTCTCCTCTATATAAATATGAAGTGTTTTTGGGCATGGAAAGCTTGTCTTTCTTCCATTGGAAAATTAAAAGATCCATCGATCTGATTATTGCATTTTTTTTTTGTCGGAAAATAAATTAAGAAAGATTGAAGGTTGGATCATCAATAAAAATGGGAAGACAGCCTTGCTGTGACAAAGTGGGATTGAAGAAAGGGCCATGGACTTGTGATGAAGACAAGAAACTCATAGCTTTCATGCTCAACAATGGTCAATGCTGCTGGAGAGCTGTTCCTAAACTTGCAGGTATATATATATATATATATATTGACTAGAAATTTTATAAATATATATGGTAGAAAAAAAGGGATAGGATTTATTTTTATTTTTATTTTTATTTTTATATTGGATTTGTTCATTTTGTTTTTTTGTTTTTTTTTTCACGATTTTTAATAGATATTATAAAAAAAAGCGATATATACATTTTATTTATTTAAAAAAGATTAATAATATAATATAAAATATTAGTATTTTTTATATTACCGACACAATTTTTCGTAGCTAACTTAAAAATACATCCATCTAACTATACAAAGTAAATTCTTTTATATAAAATTACATATTTGTATGCATTGTTTAAGCTCTATTTATTTATTTCATATAAAACTAGTTTCAATTAGAAATATATTACATTTGTTTATTTAAATTTTTCTTATTTTAAAAATAAAACAGAACACTTCAAATATGTCCACGCATATTCTTATGAAAATTTTAATATTATATAATACATTAATTTAGGAAAGTTATCATTTAATATACATTTTCTTGAAAAAACAATTGTAAAAAAACCAATATATTTATTTTTGTAATAAGCTTGAAGATTCTATAGTAACAAAATAAATATTACTTTCATTTGCATTCATGGGACATATGTTTGAAATTTGTTTATCGACTATTTGAATTTATTGATTTTTATATTTAATTTGTTATCAATATAACACTATGTAGTTGATTTGGAATGAAATACTTTATCCTTATTTATTTTTAAGTGAAAAAATACCAAATTTTTTTTTTTTTTTTACTATAAATTTAATTTTAAATTTTAATTTTTTATTGTTATCTCATTTTCTTAAAATTGTTGCAGGGCTTTTGAGGTGTGGAAAGAGTTGCAGGTTGAGATGGACAAACTACCTAAGACCTGACCTCAAAAGAGGTCTTCTCTCCCAAGACGAAGAGAAGCTTGTCATCGACCTCCATGCCCAGCTTGGAAACAGGTCTTTAATATATTACATATATATATATATATATGTATATGTTCAATTCCTCAAATTAATATTAAAATCATGTGGCAGACAAAATCATCAACCCCAAATTGATCATCGAACAGGCCCTTTCAATTCTTCCATGGCCGTGCCTCTGTCTCATCATTACTTCACTTCTAATATCTTTTTACTAATAACAATAATAATAATGGAAATGGAAAAATTGCATTTTTCAGATGGTCCAAAATCGCTTCTCATCTTCCAGGAAGAACAGACAACGAAATCAAGAACCATTGGAACACTCACATCAAGAAGAAGTTAAAGAAAATGGGTATCGACCCTCTTACCCACAAACCTCTATCTCCGCCGCCGCCGCCGCCGCCGGAGACTGAGCCTGAGAAAGGAGGCGATAAGGAGGAGGAAGAGGACAAAATCAGGAGCCCAATTGAGTCCAATGAATTCGACAATATTAATAATGATAATGATTTCAGCATCGACGAAATTCCTGTGATGGAACCACACGAGATTTTGATTCACCAACAGTCTACTCCATCTTCTTCTTCCTCTTGCTCTCCGTGTTCTCCATTGTCGTCTTCGTTGGAGGATCTGCAGTGCTTTTCCCCGACATTTAGGGATTACTGCACTGAAATGATGAACAGTTACAGCATCTGGGAAGATGGGTTCGGGATCAACGGCTGGGATTTGTTGGATGATTTGGAAATAGGAGAGCTTAATATATAGACACAGACAAACATGGCTGCCTGCACATTATATATACATATATATATAATCTTGGATTGGACACCAATTTGATGTATATTCAACACTTTGTTCGTTGGGATTCGATTTTTTTTTTTTTTTTTTTTTCTGGATACGATCACGATTAGTCCCATGTTTCAAACTTTGTGTTTTTACCTATCCCCACAATAATTCATGCATGGTTGTCGTGTCAATTGAAATGTTTTTTTACCTAATTTTAATTTCAATTGTTCAATAATGTAATCAAAATTTTTATGGTAAGGTATGGAAAAACAAAGAGTTAAAAGCATATCAGTTTGTTCACCCCATATCTTTCAATAAAACAATTCTTCATAAATATTATTAAAAAAATATAAATATACAGACATTAATATATATATTATTTATTCATAAAAATCAATAATTTAATACAAAATATTATTTTTTATATTAGTAACGTACCACACATAAAAAAATCAATTTATCTAAACACAGTTGAACGAAGAGACTAGATATAACTAACAACATTAATTATGTACTTGTTGCTATAATAGTAATATGGGAGCAAACATGTTTGGCTAAGTAGGATCTATTTGTGATATTTTAAGTTCAAGGCAATAGTAAGAATAGCGTTTGGCGATTAGAAGGCTCACGGCGAGAAGAATGTTCGAGAGAATTGGACAAGGTGTTGAAAACGTCATAAGGATAGTTGTAGTAACGTCTGGCCCGACGGCGAATATAACGATGACTATAGAAAAAAATTTTATAATGACATTAGAAAATTGTCGTTGGGGTAGGGCCTAACAAAGAGTACATTAGAGCATCTTTTACGATTATTTTTCTTACTGTACAATATTGTTTGAGAATTGATATTTAATTTAGTTTCCTTTTTTTAAAAAAATTATAATATTAGGTAAATTATATATTCTCTTATATTTTAGTAAAAATGAGCAAAATACTCAATATTTTATTTACCGTATGAAACCCTTTGTGCTAATGTAAAATTTGTACAAAACGTCCTCATTGTCCAAAACTAATGTTTGAGTTTAAATAAAAACTTAAATTAAGTAAGTTTTATACAAAATATATATATAATATCTTAAACAATTTTTGTAATAAAATAAATAATTGATCAATCATTTATTTTTATAGTTTTTGCAAAAATAAGATAATAATTTGTCTCTAAAAAACTATAATATGAAGGATTAATCAATTATTTATCTATTTAGTTTATTCAAAAAAATTATTTAAGATATTTTATGTTTTTTATTTGTATAAAACTTACGCTAATTTAGGTTTTTATTTAGACACAAACATCAGTTTTGAATAAATGTAATGTTTTGTGCAAACTTTATATTAACACAAAAAAGTTTCACGTAATAAATTAATTATTTTATGCATTTTCAGTAAAAAAAACACATTTTTGTGTTATATAATTTACCTTATAATATTTAAAAAGTAATGTATCTAAAAAATTCTAAATATAGATTCAAATTATTTAGCATATGGCGAAGTTGTCAATTGTTAGGAGAGATAGAGTGTAGCTCAAAAGGTTGAGTTATACTCTCTCCGTTCCACATAATTTATCCATATTTTTTATTTTCGATCGTCTTGTATAATTTATCTTTTTCTTCTTTTAAAAAAAATAATTTTAATTACATTTTAAATTTTATAATTTTTTTAATCATAATTTAACTATTTAATTATCTTAATCTTAATTTATAATTATTTTTATTAATATATTTCTTAATTATTTAATAAATATATTTTAATCCATTATGTTATAATTTGACTTACCAAATCACGATTGAGCAAGTTGTAGGTTGACTTGCGCCCGGTCAACCAATCATAATAGCTCTAAGCGACAAACAAATACGCGGATAATGGCGAATGGCCTAACGATGAGAAAGAGGTAGACAGTAGCCAATTATACTTTGTGTGTTTGTTTATTTGGGAGACTGCATTTTAAATACATTATTTATCTTATTTTTTTTCTTAAAAAAATATCAAATCAAATATTTATTTTTTATTTTTTATATTATACTAAAAATCAATTTTATATTCAAAATATCACATCAACACCTATTTATATCACATCATACAACTATTCAAATTCAAAATTTTTACTATTTAAATCTCAATTCAAAATCAAACCTCGAACAAACACATCCTTACACAACAAAAATATATTGTGTAAAATAAATATATTGACCACAAGCTTTTGTAGTGTGTACGTATATATTCGGATTTCCGTGTATTTTTGCAAGTGGGACAATTTATTTTTTAATCTCTATACTTTAGTAAATTTGAGCATATAGAAGTTGTTGGGAAATGAATAAGGTGTTGCACCAAATCACTTTCGAACATTTATTCAAATGTATCAACTCTCAAAGCATGGTTATATCACAGTTGTAATACCCTACTGTCAACTGAATATATGCGGAAAATACAAAGCAGTAAATGAGACAAAGGTTTATTTACCCAGTTCGGATATAAACAATCCTACATCCGGAAATACCAATCCAGGAGAAGTTCACTAATCAGTGCTCATTAAGAACATAGACAACCACAACTCTTTCAATTCATTCTCCTAACATAGTTTACCTTGGAAATTCCCTACACAGGCTTATGTTGTCACAAACTTGTGCTGACAACGACCACGGAGCAGAACTGCTAAGAATCTGGACGCTTCCCCTTATCGGAACTCCGATTTCTCCTTCCTCCGACGAGGTCTCCGGCGAATATAAGTGTCTTGCACTCACTCAATACATGGATAAAAGAAAAGTTAGAGGTGAAAGGATTTAACTCACTTTTTCTCTCACTAGACACACTCTCAAAACCTTCCAACAACCAGACAAGACTATTTACTCCAAATGAAAATCTGAAAAAGACAGTAGGAAGAAAATACGAAGAACCATATGCCAAAAATAGTTGGAGGAAATATTGTTCCAACAGAAGTTTTTGAATTTTTTTTTAAAAAATAATTAGTAATGAAAAAATTGGACATTTAATTATACTACTTCTGTCCTACGTTTGGTGTCTTGATCACTGTAGATACGGTAATTTATAATAAGTATAATTAGTAGATAATTAAAAATGTATTAGTGAAAATAATTAATATATAATATAAATTATTATAAATTAAGATTAAAATAACTAATTAATTTAATTAAAATTAAAAAAAATTAAATTAAAAAATTTAAAATAAGATTAAGATGAGTAATCATTTGAAAAAAAAAAAGTGGCTATGCGAGACGGACAGAAACTATAGTATAGATATAGTAAGTGGAACAGAGAGAGTAATATTTTATGATAAAAAAATATATTTTATTTGATATTTTTTATGAAAATATTACTGGTAACCAATAATAATTATATATATATATGTGTGTGTGAACAGACTTTCTGTAATATAGTAGAATTTGATTTTTCTAGTATGTTTATTCTATCAAGAGTAGACCAACATTTGGTAATTTTTTTGAAAATTTAACATTCATTTTAACATCTTTTAATTTTAGATTTAGGGCTGTTTGTAAATCTATTTTTAAATTGCATATTTATATAGAATTATGAAAAGCTTATCTGCTTATTGTTTTATTTTAAATTTTTTTAGATGTATGATATAAAAAATTAAGCCGTTAATATAAAAATCTAAATTTATAGTACTTCTTTTTTTATCCAGAAATATTATTACTTTGCTGCTTTTTTTTTTTTTTACCAAATATTATTTTTTCTACTATTTTATAACTAAAAAAGAAAAAATATATCAGTAATAAAAACAAAATTCAAAATAAAAGGTATTTCGTAAAAAGAAAAAGTTAGATTAAACATACTTTTTGTTATAAATATCTACTTTATCATACTTTTATACTAAAATGTAAAATGTAAAAGCAAAATTATATCTATATTATTTTTAACTATCTATTACAATTAATATATTACTTCCTCCGTCCCACATAACGTGTTTGCTACACTATAGCACGGTATTTTAGGAGGAGTGTAATTAATAGATAATTAAGAATATATTAGTGAAAATAATTATCTTATAATATAAATAATAATAAATTAAGATTAAGATAACTAATTAGTTTAATTAAAATTAAAAAAATTTAAAATGAGATTAAAGTGTATAATTATTTTCTAAAAAGGGAAAGTGACATAGTACGTGGGATAAACAGAAACGGTAACGTGGACATGGTATGTGGGATGGAGGGAGTACTATTTTTCTAAAAAAATTTGTGATGCCAAAATATAAATGTATTATTTGAAATAGATGAAAAAAATACTCCCTCTATCTCAAACAAGGTGCAATATTTGCTTTTGGGACGGGTTTTTAGGTGGGGTGGTATTAAATAGGATAATATAAAAATTAAGTGATGTGATAGTGAGAGAAATATATATTTTATTTTTTTATTTGGATGTTGTGAGGAATAGAGATTAAGTATAACTAATTATTTTCTATTTTGGAAATCTTGTAGGATTTTGGGATATACCAAAAAAAAAAAAATGTTACAATGTGTCTGGGACGAAGGGAGTATTTATTTATTTATTTTTGGAGTAGGGAATAGTAGAATTTCAAAAAAAAAATTATAAAGAAACATCAACCCTTCACTATTATTATCATTATTGATAAGCAAATTTTCAGTGTCATCATCACACTGAAATGCAGAGACGTTATAACCAACAACAGCAAATTAATTAAAATGACATCCATCCTACACAACATAACTCGTAAGGGTTGCTTCACCACAAAATCAAAATCCCTTTCTTAAAATCAAAGCAAAACGCCGGCGCCGGCGCCGGCGCCGGAAACTGCAAATGTTGGCAACACAACTTTTGGCTCCTCACGGCTTCCACAAGACGGTGGTTTCCGTGATCATCGACGTAACGACATACGGGTCCATATTCGAGGCCGGCCTCCGGTCCTCAAAGTATCCTTTGCCTTCTTTCGCTGTGTCCCGCCCAACCCGGATCGACGCCCCACGGTCAGCCACTCCCTGTGTCGATGTAATAAATGTTAGATGTCATATAAATAGATGTGATATTTTGAATCTCAAATAAAATTCTAATATTTTTTCTCAGAAATAAAGGTAAAAAGACTAAAATATATTTTAGTATTTTAGTATTGTATGATATAAATGTAATTGTATTTGTAATGTTAAGTATATAATATAGTTACTAAAAAAAAGAAATTGATACTTTGTTACCAAAATGACAAAAAATTGATAGATTGCTAAGGGACGGAGGGAGTATAATATAAAAATTGAAAAGTAATTGTTTGATTTGATATTTTAAATAAAAGTAAAATAAAATTTGAATAGGAAAAATTTGTAGTAAAACCCACAACAGTTTATCTATTAATTACCCATTTGAAGGTGTTGATGTCGGCAGTTTCGTGCCTTCCGGTGAGGCGGCGCTCGTTGCCCTCTCCGTAGGCGGCAATGTGCTCGCGGTGCCTCAGCCCGAGCTTCTCGACAGCCTTTTTTATGACCTCGTAGCCTCCTTCTTTTCTCATCGACTTCGTGCTGATATTCATCGACCGTAAACAAGCTTTAGAATCGCCATCAAGTGTAAAAAAATAGGATGTTAGAAATCAAAGGATTCATTACCTATAATTGGTGTGTGCGCCGGCGCCGTTCCAATCGCCCTGGATTGGCTTGGGGTCGAACGAAAGTACGACTCCGGCAACCTCCGTAATCCTCTGTAAAAACATTTAACGTAAACAAAGTTCGACTCATGTTTTATCGATTTCTTTAGATTCTACGAATGTAAGTATTTCGGTTTCGTATTGTCATTATATTACCTCCAAGATGTATCGAGCTATCCACAGCTCGTCGGCGGCAGAGATGCCGGTGGATGGTCCGACTTGAAACTCCCACTGTATAGGTTTCGATAAGGTTGTATTAATCAGACATCAATAAAAGTCGAATGAACGAAATCGAGCGCATAGCCAAGAAGCGCGCATCGAACATATGTACCTGCCCGGGCATCACTTCGCCGTTGATGCCACTTATGTTGATCCCGGCGTACAGACACGCTTTGTAATGAGCATCGACGATGTCTCGTCCGAAAGCCTTGTCAGCTCCGACTCCACAGTAATAAGGGCCCTTCGAAACGCAACAAACACAATTCAAAAATCCTTACACTTCGATTACACATACGCCTCAGATTGATTGTAATAAATCGAGCAAACCACTGATTATACTACAAATACAATGTATAAACTGACAACGTATGACAATAGTTCATACAACATACTCCCTCCATCCCATATTTATTTATCTATTTGCTTAATAAATGTGAAAAGACTAAACTAACTTTATTAGTATCTTATGATATAAATGTAATGATATTTGTGTAATATATTATAAATTGAAAAGATATATTTGTAATGTTAGATAAATAGCACATGTACTAAAAAAGAAAATGAATACTTTATTATGAGACGACCAAAATAAAAAAATTAAAAAATTGTTAAGGGATTGATAGGTTATTAAGGGAGGAGAGAGTATGTTATAACCAATTTAGACACACAATACATATTAACATAGCTGCTGCAGATCTCTCATGATCAGACCAAGTCAGTATGGTTATAATATAATATATACTATATTATAAATATATTGAAATATATATAAATATATGTCGGTCACTTTTATAACACCATGTTGACTCGATCGAATCTAACACCTGATCCATGTCCTAACATAGGACATATATAAATCAGAGTATGTAGTAATCACCTGAGGTCCGGGGTAGCCTCCCGTCGGCCATCCGAGGGGCCATTTAACGTCCTTCTGTAAGAGAGTGTATTCTTGCTCGAGCCCAAACCTGCCGTCAAATTTAATCCAAAGATCGATCAGTTATCACAAGCGAATTCTATCGAGACAGACAACATCGATCAATTCAGATTTCGGACATACCATGGCTCTTCGGCAGCGACATCAGGATGGCTGAAGATCTTGGCGGCACTGTGCCTCTTGTTCGTCGGTATCGGCTCGCCGGCCGGTGTGTAAGCATCGCACATCACCTGAAAAACATTCGTCGGAGACAAAAAAATCGAATCAAACAGACACAATTGCAGATTCAGACAATCTCAGAAACAGAAAAGAATTCTCACCAGAATGTTTTTCCCTCGCCGGAACGGATCGCGGAAAATCGCCTGAGGACTAACAATGGTTCGGGCATGAATAAAAGCTTTAGGACAAATCCATTAACGATCGAAAGAAGAGAAGCTTAGGACACTTACTACAGGATGACTTCGCTGTCCTCGCCGGGGGCTTGGCCAGTGCTGGAGCCGTCGTAGTTCCATTTAGGAAGCTTCGAAGGATCAGTAACTGGTCCAGAAAGTGTCTGGAGAATCCAAAATTATGTCATTAACTGTTCATAGTTACTGCCAAAGTTTACTGTAAAGATTGAACAGAAATTGTTTAATTTACCCTGGCTTTGCTTCGAATATCTATTCCAGAGCCTCCGACCCTGTCATTATCTCGTCAAATCAATATCACAGAGCTTCTTACAAACAAACTTTCGAAGAAGACGTTAGGTGTCTCATTCTTACCGAATCTCTTTAAGAAAGCTCGAATTACGCTTTTTATTTAGGACAAACAGATTTAGCAACAAAAAGTTTGTAATATCAATTTGGGGGAAAAGAGAGATAATGGAACAGGGAAATGGAGGAACACAAACCATTAAAGATATTAAATAAATAAATCAGAAACAAGTAAGAATAGAAGCATCTGCAGAGCTTTTTTGAAGAGATAAGATGGTTGAAGAAACAGGGGGATGCAGGTGTGTTGTACACGTATATTATGCGAGAAGAAAGAAAGGAAATGAACTGACCAGATGTATTCGGCGATGATTTTGTCGGAGAGGGTGAGGTTGAGGAGGTCTGAAAGGGCCGCCATTGGTGTGTTGCTGCAAGAAATAGAATCTGGTTTGGTGAGGAGTGGAGAGTGGAGAAGGATGGACGAATATATTGTGGGATTCTTCAGCTGCATTTATTTATATAGGGAGAGGGAGAGTTGAGATTCGATGCTGCCGTGTTGGGTCTGTGTGTGTGCTCATACGTCATATTTTGGGACTTGTTTTATTCTCATTTTTATTTTTTTAAATAATACTCCCTCCGTCCCAGATATAATACTGTGTCTGCTACACTGTAGACACAGTATTTTAGGAGAGATTTAATTAGTAGATAATTAAGAATGTATTAGTAAAAATAATTATCTTATAATATAAATAATTATAAATTAAGATTAAATAACTAATTAGTTTAATTAAAATTAAAAAAAATAAAATTTTAAAATTTAAAATGAGATTAAAGTGTGTAATTATTTTTCCAAAAAGGAAAGTGACATGGTATATGGGACGGACAGAAACGGCAACGTGAACATGGTATATAAGACGGAGGGAGTACTGTTCTTTTATCTGTATTGTAAAAATATCTTCATTTTATTATTTTAAATTGTCTATAAAATATTACCTTCACCCGGTTTTAATGATTCTATTTACGTTCATCTTTTAATATTAATTATTATATTAAAGTATAAATTAAAAAAAATGTAAAATATATTTTTGATTAGTATTTTATAATAGTAATAGAAGAATATTTGTAAAAAAAAATTATAAAAATATAAAGATATTTTTAATGTTAATGTTAAGTACAATGATACATATAAAAACCTGACCTTAGAGACGGATGGAGAGAGTAATATATTGATACATATTGGGCGTGCTCGTTTGGGGTATTTTTATTAATTTTTATTGTTAGTCAGATTTTTTCTTATAAAAAATATCAAATTAATTATTTATTTTTTTATATTATACTAAAAAATAATTTTACATTCAAAATATTACATCAAACTATATTTATATCACATCATACAACTATTCAAATTCAAATATTTTACTATTCAAATATCAACTCAAAATTCAACTATCCAAACAAACACAGATTTAGTAAAAAATACTCTCTTAGTCTCCCAACAAAGTATATATTAGTTTTTTATTTTTAAATATTAGTATTATATTTGCATACATAAAAGAAAAAGTCAAAATATTTTTATTAATATTGTATAATATAAAGATAATATATATTCTTTTTTACGAAAAAATATACTCCTTCCGTCCCATAACAAAGTATCCATTTTTACATTTTAGTCTGTCCCATAACAAAGTATCTATTTTCTTTTTTTAGTAACTGTACTTGTGTACCTAACATTACAAATATCCTTACAACTTACAATATATTACACAATTATTATTACCTTTATATCACACATACTAATAAGATTATTTTAGTCATTTTTACTTTATTCCTACTATATTTTAATATAATACTAATACTTTTAAAATTACGTGAAAAAGCAAATGGATACTTAGTTGCGGGAGAGAAGAGAAGATAATGACTAATAATAAAAAACTTGAAAAAAATAAATAATACTAACAGACATTGGGATTTTCGATGCTACAAGCCGAAACCTTGTCAAAGTTGCATACATTTTATAAGTCTAACAAATACACGGATGTTTTCAAAACAATTTATTTACAATATATTAAAAAAAAATTATTCGAATATATTTTTCTCTCATAAAATTTATGAGCCCTGAGTATGGGCCAGATGGTCCATGTCCAAGGCGGCCGTGAGACATATTTTGATAAGTCTATAAGGAAACATTTATGTCTAGTGATTTTAATGAGGTATTTTATTATATTTTAAAATTTTATTTTGTGATTGTTATAATTTTGTTAAATTGAAAAATCTCTATCACCTATTTATGTTGTCGTTTGATTTCAAAAATAACAATATATGACCAAGTTGTACAGTCATTTTAAGTTGTTTTTTTTTATTGTATTTCTTAAGAATTGTGGTTTCTCAAAATAAAATGGACAATTTGAGTTTGTCCTCTTGTGGTCAGAAGTGTGTAGATACACACTGTTCCTTTTTTGTATCAAGGGAATTTATTGCATGTCTACATTATACAGTGAGAGAAATATTGTAACAATCCTTTCAATTTTATCCCTTCTCATCTCCTTGCATTGAGTGAGTAATATACACTACTATCTCGCCGGAGAATTCGTCGGTCAAAGGGAATTGGAGTTCCGATCAGGAGAATATTCAGAATCTGAGCTGTCTAACTATGTGTTAGTTGTCCGTATGCGATTGTGATAATGTATGAAATTTTCTAGGTAATCTGCTTGTAGTTTGGGTTGATGAAGTTTTGGGTGTTTTGTTCTTAATCAGCACTGATTAATAAACCTCTCCTTGATTGAAATCTCTTGGATGTAGGTTGGTTATAACCGAATCGCGTTAACAAATAATTTGTCATTTATTGCTTTGATCTCTGCATTTATTTCATTGACAAGTCGTCGTTATAACTGTGATATAACTATGCTTCGGGAGTTGACCATTTGAATAAATATTCGAGAGTTTATTGGTGCAGCACTTATTCTCTCCCAACAAATTTCTTAAATAAAATATAATACTTTATTTAATATAATATTATTTAAACAAAATTTTAAATAAAATCATACAAAAAAAAAAAGAAATTAAACTAAAATCAAAGTAAACAAAGCAAAATTTCAAAATCATCAAGTTGCATATATGTACTACAGATTCCAATGACGAATATATATATATATATATATCATTTTCATTAGTAAATTAATTTAAATATGTAGTCGATCAATCATCCATCATGTGTGGCATCAGCCACACAAATTTTCTTCCCTATTAAATAATTAAGAGTAGACTTCTAATATAATATTTAAATTAAAACACTACACTATTAATTTTCTATTTCACATACATACATGCATACATACACATATATAAATCTATTAATTATTGCCTACGCGACGATAAGAAATAGCTAATTTGATTGTCAACTAACGTTACTAACACCCAATATTATAAATTCAATCATTATTATTATTTTATTTTATTTTATTTTATTTTTATTATTATTATTTTTTTGCAACAAAAGGATTTCCAAAACATATTTAACTTCCAAGTTTTGATTAGATTAGATATGTTATACTGCTATAGGTTGTACATATAAATTTATAATTTGTTATTCGACAAATAGCGACCGCGGATTCTTAAGTTATAAAAAAATAAATATATAAAATAATTTATAATTTGTTGTAAATAAAAAATGATTTTGTGGTTCGAGAGTAAATTTAGGAACGTTATGCTTCTTAATGATATTGCATGTCACACAAAATTTGCTTAGTATGAAATTACAAATGAAAAAAAAAAAAAAATACATATAATTTTATATATAAACAGAAAAATTAATAACTATATATATTTATATATTATATTTACATGAAATAATAAAAAATATAATGATGTATAGCTTTCAGTGTTGGTCAAGAGCATGTTTAATTAAGCTTTGGGGGAACCATTAACAAATGATAGATATATGATTAGGTCATCCTTTAATTTATACAAATTTAATTTCATTCAATATTTTTTAATTTTTTATGTTGAATTTTATAATTGTCTTGAATAAAAAAAATCAATCAACCATTAGGGTTGGTTAGGCCTGTTAATTTTTCAACTATAATTCGTATTATTGAAAAAGAGTTGTTTGGTAGTAGCTTGTTACCTTTTGGATGTCTATTGAGCTAAAATGAAATATATTTATACATAGGTTTTGTTGACTTGAATTTGTCTCAATTATAAGCTCTTGTAATAATATAATATATATATATATATGTAAATAAATAAAACAGATAATAAACCTGTGCGCGTTGAAATATACGCCTACTGTTCATACGTTTTTGTGTGCATTATCGAATCTATTTCAGACGTTGAAACAAACGATAAATAATACTCCCTCCGTCCCAGATACCGTGTCTGCTACACTGTAGACACGGTATTTTAGGAGGGGTGTAATTAGTAGATAATTAAGAATGTATTAGCGAAAATAATTATCCTATAATATAGATAATTATAAATTAAGATTAAGATAACTAATTAGTTTAATTAAAATTAAAAAATTTAAAATGAGATTAAAGTGTGTAATCATTTTCCAAAAAAGGAAAATACATGGTATGCGGGACGGACAGAAACGGCAACGTGGATATGGTATCTTGGACGAAGGGAGTATGTATTATGTAAACTATTGTTATGTGCTATCAATTAATATGTCGTATTTTTACTATATTAATATAAATCATATATTCTTTTATTAAAATTTTGTGTTAATTATATATATTTTGTGCTGTTAGCACCATACTGAAAATGTCGATTCATCAATCGTATGTATATACAATCATTTTGAAATAAATACATTTAACATAATTTATATGTGATTCAACAATGGTTGTTCTTTTTCTTTTCTTTTTTTTTTTTTTTTTTTTTGTAATATTGAGATGATTGTCATACATTTTTTTTAGTAACTATTGAATTAGAGAATGATATATATAATAACTTTAAATAGATATCTTCAATGTAACACTTTAAATAAAGATTGAGTGTGTTTTTAATGTAATACAATATAAACTAAAAAATAGATATTTTTTATAATATTTTTTATTTGATGAAATTAAAATTATTAATGGGAAATCAATGTTGATTTGACAAACAAGCCCACCATCGAAATCAATTTTTTTAATTGTACGAGAACATACAAAATGAAAGTGAATGGAAATAGTAAAAAATTAATAGTAAAAAATTAATATTTAATTTAATATTTTATGAGAAAAAATATATTTAATGTCTGATATTATTATGGCCACATTAATATTTACAATTGAATTCTTATTAGGACAATAATTGACTAAAATACTTTTAATTGAACCAAATTTGATCAAAATATTTGTATGAGATTAAATTTAATTAATAAAATTTTGAATGGCACCAAAAATAACTTTTACTATTGATTATTAATTTTATTTTGTCATGGTATCTCAAACAATAAACAACATTAACCTTTGTTTGGTTTGCACAATTTTAGTATTTTATT